GTGTAGCATCTGTTCTTATTGGTTTAATATCAGATATGTTCTCTATCTGCAGACAATATATTAAATGGATTTTTGGAGCAGCAGGGTGGAATAAGAGTTTGCGCCCTATACTCCATGCATTTACCTGGTATCACAGTTCAGGAATGGAGCACCCCCTTGAAAGATTAAAATAACAAATTGCACCTGCGCGTGCACGCGCACACACACACCCACCCTTCCACCCCCCCCCCAATTTTATTATCTTACAGATCTGGAGGTCAGAAGCCTAAAGTGGGTTTTTATGAGGCCAAAATCAGGATGTTGGCAGAACTATGTTCCTTCTGGAGGATCTAGGGGCGAATCTGCCATTTCCCCGTGTCTAATGACTTCCTGCATTCCTTGGCTCATGGCACCCTGTCACCCAGCTGTCTGCTTCCATTGTTCTCGCTCTCTGACTCTCTCACTTTGACCCTCTGCTTTCCTCTTTCAAAGTACCCTGTGATTACATTGGACCCACTAGGTAACCCAAGATTTTCTKCTCATCTCAAGATCCTTTACTTACACACATCTGCAAAGTCCCTTTTGCCATGTAAGATAAAAACATGTCAACAAGTTCTGGGGATTAGGACATGGACATCTCTGGGGGCTTGTCACACATTTTTGGAATCCTGTGTTTATCCCAGAAGGAAGGGGATGTAACAGAAGTATTTTAAGCAAAGGGAAGCCATGATCAGACCTCCTTCAATGTATCCCTCCAGTGACCTAACTTCTTCCCACAAGGACTCACCTGCTCAAAGCTTCATTACTCCCCAATAGCACCATGCTGGGGATCAAACCTTCACCACATGTACCTTTGTGGGGGGCATTTATGACAAACTATAAAGCTAGACAAATCTGCAAGCTCTTGTAGCTGGCACTTCAGATTGTTTTTTAAAAACTTCTTGGATGAAATTCTTAAGCAATGCTTAACTGTAAGCATTGTTCCCTGCCAACCAAGAGTGAGAATGTGGAATGGCCCCAGTCTGTCAATGAGTAGAAGTGTTCTGAAGGCCTCCTCCAGGAGCTTTCATATCAAGGGCCAAAGAGAATCTCTATCCCCATATTGTTCCTCAAGTTTGCCTCTCCTCAATGCTCTGGGCCTCCAGTGGGGCTGAGATAGGAACTGGTGGCTCTTTCTCTCTTTTCCTTTCAGAAGACATTTATTGTAAGTGGCAAGGTGCATCTATTTTAAAATTTCTCTTCTTGCTTTTTAAAAAAGGATTTTGAGAATTGACACTAGTGACTGTACATTTTAAGGGGTACAGCGTGATACTTATTAATATATGAATACGATGTGTAGTAAATCAGATGGGGTAACTGGCATGTCTGTCATCTCAGATATTTATCATTTCTTTGTGTTAACAACATTTGTAATCATATTAGCCGTGTTGAAATGTTCATTGTGGTGACCATAATCAGCCTACTGTGCTATAGAACACTGTGATTTGTTGTTGTTCCTCTCCAGTGGCACCTCTGAGCCTGTTAGTCATTCTCTTTTCACCCCACCCTGCTTCCTAGACTCTGGTAACCACTATTCAATTTTCTACTTGAGATCAACTTTACCTTCCTGTGGCTGTACCTCTGAYTTGATCTTTTTTCCAGTATCTTCATACTCTACATTCTATCTCACTGGCAGGCATTTCCAATTTTGATGAGTGGTACTAAGGGAGGGTAGAAAAAGCATGAAGCACCCAGTGTTCTATAATCCCAGTTGCTTGGGAGGCTAAGGCCAGGTTGCAAGTTCAAGGTCAATCTGGGCAATTTAGTAACATCTTGTCTAAACAAACAAACAAACAAACAAACAAACAAAGAAGTGCTGGGGATATAGCTCAGTGGTAGAGTGCTTGCCTAGCCTGTGTGAGGCCCTGGTTTCCATCCCCAATACTGCAAAAGGGAACCTGTCTCTACATTCATTTTTCTGGCCCCATGATTTGTCACTGAAGGGTCCTTTAAAGATTCAGTGAGTCCAGAAGTGGGGCAACCTGAGTCTGGTTGATTAAAAAAATTCTGATTCAAAAAATACATGCCCTGTAATAAAAATGGCTTATTACTTGTACAATCCTCACAGTACTTCAGGATTTAGTCAATAAAATGCTGGTTTTACAATCAGGAACCTGATATTCAAGGAAAGTCCTCCAGGCCAATGAGAAGGCATGGAGGCCAAATTTGAATTTTGGTTCCTCAGGCTCTGGGAATCCCCAGACTCAGCTGGGCCATCTCCATTTAAAGCACCCTCAGCCCCGCACCCAGAGCTTGGAAATGTAAATGAGAAGAGCTGGAATTAGAAGACAGAAGACCGCATTTTTTTKTTGTTGTTGTTCTTTTCAGTTATACATGATGGTAGAAACTATTTTGATATATTTATACAATCATAGAATATATCTTATTCTAAATAGAATCCCAGTCTTGTGGATGTACACAAGTGAGATTCACTGTGGTGTATTCATATACATAAGACCCGCGTTTTAATTTGGGTTTTTATATTACTCATGGGATCCTGTCTCATTCATTCTTTCTTCTGAACTGTGAACTGAGGGAATGGCTTTTAAGGTCCCTTCTAAGACAATTCCTAGGATCCTAGGAAAACCATCTTAATCCTTCCATCAAATCTCACATCAATTATGAAGATCAGTCCATAAGCCAGAATTGCTACACGATGATGCAACCATCAGGGTACAACCTGGAATTCCACCACACATCTGCTGCAGGCCTGTTTGCAGAGCTCCAGAAATTGGCTTTCACACCAGCTCCTTTCCCTTCCAGTTCAACAAGCCTCTACACTTCTTTTTTGGCTGTTTCAAACACTCTGCCCTTAGGAGTATTTTCTAATGACTTGATGCTTACAAGTATCTAAACAAGCTGTTTTGTTTTCCTTGGCATTCTGATAAAAGCAATCTTATCCTTCTACAGGATTAGCTATGCAAGTTATCAYGGTTTACAGCCTCTCAAACAGATGTTAAATGCCCCTCACCTTCTCATTCCTAGAAAGGGTGTCTGGGTGTTGATTGAGAATATGGCATTATGCAAAAATGTGGATGTGTAACCGATGTGATTCTGCAATCAGTATTTGGGGTAAAAATGGGAGTTCATAACCCACTTGAATCTAATGTATGAAATATGATATGTCAAGAGCTTTGTAATGTTTTGAACATCCAATTAAAAAAAAAAAAAAAAAAAGAGAATGCAGATGACTAAAGATCTCTCCCTACCACTTTGCCATGCATCTATCTACAGGCAGTCCTCTACACAGCTGCATGCAGAGCTGCTGGAGCAAAGGACTGGGAAATTATTTTCAGTTAAATAAACATAAAACGAGAGCTCCAGGCTGCCAAAGGCAGGCTGCCTCTTTACTGATGTTATGGAAAAAAGCACAGTAAGGCCTGACTCTGCAGCTGACTTCTGCACAAGGTTTTCCCTCCCAAAGCTAATCTTAGCAACCAGAAGAGGCCTCTTTGCTGTTTACATGGCAACATCTGCAAAGCTTTCTGAAGACAATCCCTTGAATGAATAAGAAATCCCCAGTTGTTTCCCACCTTAGTACTAAATGAAAAATTGACTATAGTCTGAGCTCCACTCTGTTTCTCTTTGGTGTAGTGAGTAAGGACATGGTTTCAGGAAACTCATTTCTTGCTCCCAATCCCAGTTAATAATTGTCAGCTTTAGCYGGGTGCWGTGGGGCACGCCTGTAATTCTAGCAACTCAGGAGGCTGAGACAAGAGGGTCGMAAGTTCAAAGCCAATCTCAATGAAAAGGGAGACACTGAGCAACTCAATGAGACCTTGTCTCTACATAAAATACAAAATAGGGCTGGGGATGTAGTTCAGTGGTTGAGTGTCCCTGAGTTCAATCCCTGGTACCAAAAAAAAAAAAAAAGTTAGCTTCCTGACCTTTGGTCAATTACTCAAATGATCTGTTTCTGTGTGTGCAAAATATGGGTCAATGAAGGCACTCATCTCATTGGATTAAGTATTACATTTAAATATAGATACAGACCTTACATGTAGATGTGCTAGGGGGGCAGCTAGCCAGAGTTAAGAACTAGACTTAAGTTTCTGATCTTTTGATTAAAAAAAAAAATTTTTTTTGACACTGGGGATTGACCCCAGGAGTGCTCTACCACCGAGCAACACACCCCCACCTCTTTATTTTTGAGACAGGGTCTTAGTTGCTCAGGCCTGACCTCAAGCTCAAGATACTAGCACTTCAGCCTCTGAGTTGCTGGGATTATAGGCGTGTGCAAACACACMAGGCTTGCCTTTAACTTTACTTCCTCTCCTTGATTTTGAAAGTAATTTGCAAAAAGAGACTAGGGGGTTAATAAAAAGGATTACTCTGGAACCTCTACAGGAATTTTAGTAAATGTTTTGCTGGTTTACCCTTACAGTACTAATATAAGGTTGCCAAATAATTGAGACGAAACATGCTAATTCAGTCTGAGAGGAGAACTTACTCTTTGTTTGGTGCATAGTATTTAATATCATATTCCATGTTAGTGCTAAGAATGGGTCCGCACAGTGAAATCTGAATTATGCCAATTACAACTTGACTTTGTGTTCAATACTGAGCCACTGTTTGTAACTTGAAATCTGGCATTATACAAAGGATGTCCCCAAACTGATGGCTCAAAAGATTGTTTCTCAGGGGTGGAATTGTGGCTCAGTTATAGAGCGCTTGCCTAGCATGTATGATGCACTGTGTTCAAGTCTCAGCACCACATATAAATAAATAATATAAAGATCTATCAACAACTAAAAAAAAWTTTAAAAAAAGATTGTCCCTCAAATCTCTGATAAAGATGACCCCAGGCTGGGTTGTGGCTCAGTGGTAGAGCACTTGCCCCACACATGAGGTACTGGATTCGAATTTCAGCACCACATATAAATAAATGAATAAAATAAAGGTCCATAAACAATTAAAAAATATATATAAAAAGATGCCCCAGTCAACAAACTGTCATATTGTAAACATCAAATAACACCACAAACATTTTAAAAAAGGAAGTTTATTGGTCTTTAAATGGCTCAAATTGCAAATAAACGATCGGGTAGTGGCATCAGCCGAAGACATGTGATGCATCTTTGTCAGTTGGCTTCATAGCACCTCAGTACCCAGGAGAGGAAAGGTCTCAAAGCAAAGTCACGATGTTAGTGGTTAGGACCCCTGGTTCAATAAGACTGCAATGAGTACACTGGAGACTGCTGGGCCTGTTGGCCAGCACGACACTGGTAACTTTAATTCTGCACATGGCATAGCTCATGAGGAATATGAAATGAAAGATGTACACCTCAAACCCTTAAGGACAAATATTTAACATGACAAGCTGGATGTCATATCTAAAGAGTTGAGTTCCTAAAAAGCCTATTTTTGATAACTTTACATACACACCTGTTCCCTGGAATGCCTGAACACATCTTTGACCTTTTAAAACATTAGGACTGAGCAACAGAAAGATAAACTTTGTTCAATTTCAATCAACTGTCTTAGCCACATCCTAAAGAGGATAAGAAAAATCTGATAGTGGTAAACTTCCCATTGAAATTATGTTCCCAAATAACACACTAGAATTCTTCCCGTGGGAACACCATACGATGGTGATCCAGTCTAATGTTTGATCTGTGAGCCAAACATTTTCTGCACTATACCTGTGTTTGATTGGTTGATGTTAACTTTAGAAAAATGTAGTTACAGTGTTCTTCACTATGAACATAAACAGACTACAAATACTAATAATTTCCATAAAGCCAAACTGTAACCTCATGAGAACAAATTTAGAAGAGGACAGGTGGCAAGCATGAATATTTCCCGAAGTGTTCTAGTGCAATTTGCATAGCACTGTTGACTTTTTCCTGTGCCCTGTTCCTAGGAGATTAGAAGCTTAACACTTAAATGCTCACCACTTATAGAAAGTGATTTCCAGGAACCAGCATCTTAAGAGAAAAAAAAAGGTTCACTCAAACATAACTGGTGCTGAATCCTCATAGTCTAAAATTATCTTACAAGTACATGCTGGCCCTTCCTTTACTACCTTATAGTTTATTTAAAAGCAATCAAGGAGCTCTGGAACTTTATTCTTAAGAACCAGAGTATGGCACACATTTTTAATTTGGACAGACTCCTAGCAGATAGTAATTTCTCAAGAATCTTCTATACAAAAGCTGCACTTTATCTAAGCAAGATAAGATCTTCTCTCACCAGGACTCCTGGGGCAGTGAGTGGGCCCACAGTACCAGTGAGAACACACCTAGAATGGTGTAACTGGGCATTTTTCATTTTTAAAATTAAGGCATATTCAAAATTTTCCATGTACAAGTTTACACCACTTTTCTAAGTTAATCACCAGGTAATTAATGCAGATCCACAAATTACTCTCAGTTTAAACATATGCAACAACCATGCCAATAACTTTTTCTTCTATATTTTGCACAACAATGGTTAAAAAAGTGGTACAGTTTTAACTATCATGTTCACAATTGTCATTTTTTCAAGGCAGTAGAAGACCAAGACATTTTAAAATGATATAAAATTTAAACTTTATAATAAACACCAGAGAAAGTGGTCTTTGCTCCCATTCCCCACCCACATTTCACCTCTTTTAACAGTTCAAGAAAGACTGCCCGAGAAACACAAGCTCACACGCTACATTCAGGACTGTGATAAATGTAGGCAATTATGAAGTTAAGTTGAACTTTGCTTCATGGTGAAGCCACGTTAATTTCTTTTTTAAGTGAATTTGACTTTCAGTGCAGTTCCAATTCATGCTTTTAGTGATACATAACAATTTCCAAAATGTTAAAGTAATTTCAGTCAATTGAGCCTTCAATGGCAATGCTTATAAATTATATTTATTAGTATGGTCAAGATAAGAAAGGAGTTTGGGCTTTGATTATAAAATGCAGCATCTTTCTCTGATTCTCTTGGCTAAACTTTTCCTCTTCTTTTTTCCATTCTTTTCTTTGCTGTCTTCCATCTTTCTGGCTCGAATTTCCCTCATTAAATCAAAAAACACCTAGACAGAAGAAAATAAAGTAAAATAAGCAAACAATATGAACTTAAATCTCAGCAGTTAAATCTTGAGAATAATAGAAAAATAAAGATTTGAGAGTTTTTTTTTTGGCAGTGGGGGCAGTGCTGCGTAGAGTGTTGCCTGTGCTGGGCAAGTGTTCACCCACACTCCCAGCCCTAAGAGCTCTTTTTGGAGAAGAAAAAACTAAAGTCTGAAAATTAAAGTCTGGTTTTCCCAGTACCTTGAGAAAACGGGAAAATTGGAACATTTTCTGAATTATACTTTAAATTGTAAAATGGTAAAAATGTTCATGTAATAAAATCTTTCTATTCCAATTTTCAGGATAAAAATGAAAAAAGAGAAACTCAATGGGATTATATCTGAGTACTTTAGATTAACAAATGTATTCTATTAATTCACATTTAATAGTGATTAATTTGTAAAATAAAATTTACACTTAATACTAATCATAAGGCAGGGGTTGTGGCTGAGTGGTAGAATGCTTGCTGAGAAAACATGAGGTCCTGGGTTTGATCCTCAGCACCACATAAAAATAAATAAACTAAAGGTATTATGTCCAACTACAACTAAAAAATAAAAATATATAAAAAAACTAATCATATTTAGTGACTCATTTTCTTCAGCTCCATTTTAAAGAAATATTCAGAAAAGGAGATAAGGAAAACAGATGCTTTATCATTTTGATACCTTTTTTTTGCACTATATTTGAGAATTTATGAATTTGTGTCTAATGTCTAGGAATTAACAAATAATGACTTTAGGAATGATAACTAAAAATTCCTAGTACAACAATTCAATAATTAAATTTCAATTACAAATGTTCTTGTTCTCTTAACAGAGAGGGGCCTGGAAGGATATGGATTTGCACTATACATAATTGGTTATGAGTGTGTGTATGATAATGAATAATCTATATAGTTCACAATTTTACACTCTAAAATTAAAAAAATAGCTATTATAGAATTAACAAATTTAATGAGACTAAAAACAAGCAAAAAATATGAAGATAATGGATGTTGTAAGTAAACAAGTATGTGTATGTAGTGACCAACATGCTTTTCCTAACATGCATTTAACTCTGTAATGGAAACTTTAACTGAAAAAAACAAGGTGCAGAATAGCATAGACAGCTACACGTTCGTGTGTGTGCAGAACRGGAATTCACACACATTTGCTTTCTCTTGCAAAAAGAAACAATGAAATGAAAACCAAATGCTAATAATTTTATTTTCAAGAGGAAGGGAAGAAGGTAGAGGGATTAGTGAAGTACCTCTGCATATACCTTGTTATACTATACAACTTCTTTGGAAATGTAAATGTTTTATACATTCAAAAAATGCACTTAACACACAAAAAGCAATCCCTAAAAGCTGAAAACTTATAAAATAAGACTGAGTGTATTCCAAGTTGGTGACATAATCATGTAGAGAAAAGGATTATTTCAAGGGTCTCTAAGACATAGTATCTATTATAAGATTAATATTTCATATGCTAAGAATAAAAATGAGAACAAAACTCCAATGAATAGAGGTCTGAAGGAACTCAGCACTTGTCTCACAAATGTGAGGCCCTGGGTTGGGTCCCCAGCACCACTTAAAGAAAACAAAAACGAAAACAAAACAAACAATAATCCCAACAAATAAAAATAAGTCCTAGACTTCACTTGGTAGTTTGATTTTGTGTGTGTGTGTGTGTGTGGTACATTGTCTTTATTTGCATTATCCTGCAGTATATATAAAACACTTTCAAAGAACAACAACACTGTTACTGGGAAATACACAGTATGWAGTGTATTCTTACCTACTCGGATGGCTCAAGCAGGAGGATTGCAGGCTTGAGACAAGCCTTGACAGCTTAGAAAGATCCTGTCTCAAAATTTAAAGAAGAGCTTGGTATGTAGTTCAATGGTATAATGCTTACCTAGCAGATGCAAGGCCTTGGTTCAATCCCTATTTCTGTCAAAACAAAGCAAAACCATGCACAAAAAGAATGAAATAGGCATAAAATTCACTAGTTGTTGCTCAACTTCTACTTCATCAGAGATGGAATTTTGGAAGCCCTCTACTTCAAATCCAGCGCTGACTAGCTGCGGCAGGAAGCCTCCATCCTAACTAAATGTAATTACTACAGTACTGCTTTCTCATGCAGATACACAACTATAAGAAAGGATATTACAAGAAGGTTTCATTTCTAATTTTCGTTTAGTCTCTGCAATAAATTTTCAAGGAATCCCTATCAGAAACCACCGAGGTCATTTTGCCTAAAAAACAATGGGAAACTTTTAAAGTCTGCATCAACCAATTTAATGAGTTAAAGCTGAAGGAAGTCCTACTTAAATGCCAATTAAATGAAATGAATAACTAGGGATAGGAATAAAGAACTAGTTTTGATGAACCAGACAAATGACAATCCCCTAGACACAGGGCTTCTTCCAACTTATTTTATTACAGACACTCTAATATTATTTCTCTCCCTCTATCTTCTTCTCCTCTTGTCTTCCTCATTCTCTTTTCTCATTTTAGGGCGATACATTATGTACAAAATTTGTTTTTTCTATGGGCTGGGGATACAGTTCAGTTGGTAGAGTGCTTGCCTCACATGCACAAGGCTATGGATTCATTCCCTAGCACCACACACACACACACACACACACACACACACACACACACACCAAAAAAAAAAAAAAAGAAAAAAAATTTGTCCTTTCTAATTCTGCAGACCATAAGAAATCACTCTTCTCACATAAATAAAAATAAAACCCAGAAAAAACAAATACACAGGCTCTTGTTTAACTTTTTTTGCCTTCACTAGTTTTTTCATTTTTAGTTAGTAGCCCCTACTTCACAGGATAGACAATATTATATTTTCAAATGGGTTAAGGATCTCCTATAAAATCCAAATGCAGAAATAAAGTAAAAAATTGAATAAATTTTTAAAAAGTTTAGAATGGTATTCTTTTTTGTTAATTATTTATTATTCTAATTTGTTCTACATGATGGTAGAATGCAATTCATTTCATATTATACATATAGAGCACAATTTTCCAAGTCACTGATTGTACATAAAGTATTTTCACACTATTCGTGTCTTCATACATGTACTTAGGGTAATAATCTCTAACTCATTCCACCATCATTCCTACCCCCTCTCCTCCTCCCTTCCTACCCTCCCCTTTGCCCTATCTAAAGTTCTTCTATTCCTCCCATGCTCTTCTTCCATTGCTATTATGAGTCAGCATCTTCATATCAAAGAAAACATTCAGCTTTTGGTTTCCTGGGATTGGCTTATTTCACTTAGCATTATATTTTCCAGCTCCATCCATTTACCTGCAAATGCCATGATTTTCTTCTCTTTTAATGCTGAGTAAGTTCCATATTTTCTTTATCCACTCATCTACTGAAAGGCATCTGGGTTGGTTTCACAATTTAGCTACTGTGCATTGTGCTGTTATAAACATTGATATGGCTGTGTCCCTGAAGTCTGCTGTTTTTAAGTGCTTTGGGTATAAGCCGAGGAGCAGGATAACTGGGTCAAATGGTGGTTCCAATCCCAGTTTTCCAAGGAATCACTATACTGCTTTCCAGATTGGAAATTTGCAGTCACACCAGCAATGTATGAGTGTACCTTTTCCCTCAAAACCTTGCCAACACTTACTATTGTCTGGATTCTTAAAAGCTGCCATTCTGACTAGAGTGAGATGAAATCTTAGAGTAGTTTTGATTTGCATTTCTCTAATTGCTAGAGATGTTGAACATTTTTCCATATGTTTGATGATTAATAATTATATATCCTCTTCTGAGAAGTGTCTGTTCAGTTCCTTAGCCCACTTATTGATTGGGTTATTTGTTTTTTTGGTGTTAAGATTTTTGAGTGCTTTATATATCCTAGAGATTAGAGCTCTATATGATGTGCTTGTGGTAAAACATTTGCTCCCCTTCTGTAGGCTCTCTATTCACCTCACTGATTGTTTCTTTTGCTGAAAAGAACCTTTTTAGTTTGAATCCATCCATTTATTGATTCTTGGTTTTAATTCTTGCACTACAGGAGTTTTATTAAGAAGTTGGGGCCTAATCTGACATGATGGAGATTTGGGCCTACTTTTTCTTCCATTAGGTGCAAGGTCTCTGGTTTAATTCCTAGGTCCTTGATCCACTTTGAGTTGAGTTTTGTGCTGGTGGTAGATATTCTTTCTAAGCAAGCTAAGAGCTCAGAAATCATAAAGGAAAATAGAAATATATTTGATAACATAATCTTTAAGGTTTTCCATGCCAAAAGACAAAATAAGCCCAATAAAAAAAAATAGTACAGATTAGGAGGCAATATTTACAACATATGTAAATGGACAAAGGGTCAWTGTCCTTAATAAAAAATGGACTCAGTAATCCAAAAGATAAACAATTCATTTAATAAATGGGCAGAAAAGAAAGGGATTTCAGATAATCCAGTCAGTGAGTCAATCAAAAGATGTGCAGGGCTGGGGTTGCAGCTCAGAGGTAGAATGCTTGCCTAGAACATGTGAGGCTTTCTGGGTTCACTCCCAGTACTGCCCCCCAACTGCCCCCCAAAAAAGCAGAAAATGCAGCAATCAGAAAACAAATTAAAAATTAAAATATCTTAATGGCATTTTTAAAGGTTGTTTTAATTTGGGCTGGCAAGGCTGCAAGGTAAAATGTTTCTCCACACACTGCTGGTGGAATGTAAAGGCAGCTGTTCTGGAGGGTAACTTGTTACTACAATTTAAAATGTATACTTGACTTTCCTTTCCTTCCTTTTTTCCTTCTTCTTGGTGGTACTGGGGATTACATTCAGGGGCACTCTTATCACTGAGTCAAATTCCCAGTCCTTTTTATTTTTTTATTTTGAGACAGAGTCTTGCCTAGGCTGGCTTTGAACTTGGAATTCTCTAGTCTCAGATTCTTGAGTAGCTGGGATTATAGGTGTGCACCACAGCTCTCAGCTCACCTTTGTCTTTTCTTTTGCACTAATGCAGAAAGTTTACTGAAATACTGTGTGTAACAGAAAAATTGCAAATGACCAAAGTGCCATTAATAGGAAAATGGCAGAAATATGGAAAAACCTAGTATGGAACATTTTGTAGATTTTAAAAAGAATGTGGGTATATTTATTTATATGCATTAATGGTAAGAGTACAGAAACATATGCAAATCYTACTAATATATAGGTAAAATAAGCAAATGTTAACTTTCCTTTATATGTATGTATGCCTGCCTTTAACTGGAAAGGTACACCTGTGTTAGCACTAGTTACTACAGAGAGAGCAGGAGAGTGGCAATATGGGTGAAGCTATTCACTTTTTCTTCCTATATTTCTGTGTTATGATTCTTTATAAAATAAGCATGTATTCATTCATTACTTATACAATAAAAAATTCACAGTAATTTTTTAAAAATATTTATCTTATTTGTAGTTGGACACAATACCTTTACTTTATTTATTTATTTTTATGTGGTGCTGAGGATCGAAACCAGGGCCTCGCACACACTAGGTGAGTGCTCTACTGCTGAGAGCAACCTTGGCCCCCACAGTAATATTTTTGAAAAAATAAAGCACATATCTCCTAAAATTCTTTCCCCAACATAAAACTGACTACTAACATCATAATTATACTTCCTCTATTGACTGACATCTACTTACTTGCTCAAATTCTTTCCATTTTGCCAAGTCGTTTCTTAAAATCAAGAGCAACCTCAGAGTTTCATATTAAGAACTAAAACTAGAGGGTCCTATAAAGGTTACTGAATGAAGCCAATGAGTGCACAAGTAGTTCACCCAGATGGTCCTCTAACTTCTTGTGATTCCTCTGTGGTAGCCCATGCCCCAGGTTCAACAAATTGGTTTGTTACCATTTCAGAGTAGAATAAAAACCTGCCTCTTTGAAATTTTTATTTAATAGTTTATTTGGAATCCAGATAAGGATAAAGAGTGAGTCCAATAACCTTGTGGAGAGCCAGTATTCGTTGTCTGTGACAATGTATGATGCTTCACAATTTCACAGAAGACAATAYTGACACTTGCTGTCCCTGAAAATTCACAAATCAGGTTTCTAGAAGTGGATGACATCCAAAATGGAAGACATGATGCCTATTCTGTCTTTTTAAGTAAAAGAATAAGGAAAGATGTGATCTTGCTCCAGTTATGTATCTTTCTGCACTTCAGTTTTCTCATCTAAAAAGTGAACATGAGAAGAGTATCCACCTTTGACTCATATATATTTAGGATTACATGGTTAGTGCCTGCCACAGTGCCCAGCTCTTATAAGTATTAATAAATATTAGTTCTTTCAACTATTAGATTACTTCTTCAGCCAAAAAACCCCAAGTATAACCTAATTTTAGAAACTGATTAATTGCTAAAGTTTACTTTTATTTAGCAGCATATGAAATTACGAGTTTTCAGTATAAATTTGTACCTCAGTTTATAAGCAGCCTATGTAATTTAATTTTGTGTTGGAGGTGACCACGAATTGACAGATTATCTTTTCTGAAACTGTCACATCAATATTTTCTATGTGTATTGCCAGAGTCTTGACACTCTCTATTAGGAGGCAGATTCTATTCTCAGCCTTCCTCCTGACGTTTGGTGGGATTTTGTGACTACCTTGACTGATAGAACCAGGATGAAATAATGCTRCCCCTTCAAAGACTTGGTAATAAAAGGCAGTGTAGCTTCTGAATAGTTCTTATTCTCTTGTGACACTTGCCCTTGGAACTGTCAGTGCACTGTGAGAAAGTCCAAGTTAACACAAGTGGACAACACACATGGGGAAACCCACATGGATAGGAGCTGAGACATCCCTGGATAAAAGTCAGCATCCACTGGTAGAGCCAGACAAGTATGAACAAGTCTTACAACCTAAATTCAGATACTTACAGACATGAAGTTTTTCAGCTAAGGCATCAAACACTGTAAAGAAGATACGAACAATCTCCAAATGTGCCCTCTCTAAATTCTTAATGTCATACAATCTGTTGTTTTATCTAGGAAATTATTTTGTTCTGCAGCCACAGTAACTAAAACAGCCTCATCCCTTTATTTTTTCTATTTTGAAAAGGTAAAATATGCATATGGCAAAAAGTTCAAATAAAGACGTCCAGAAGAGTATTTACAGAGAAATGAGCATATACCTGTAATTTAGTTCTCTGGTGATGACTACAGGAAGCAAATCCTTACATATTCTTAGGATATACACACACATATGGGTGTACATTTATTTACTTTTCATTTATTKATTGATTACAGTGCTCAGGATTAAACCGGGGCCTCATGCACATAAAGCAAACGCTCTACCACTGAGCTACAACCCCCAGTCCTTCAGTGTGCATTTAAAATATTGATAACAACAAACTACAGACACTGTTCTGCACCTTGCTTGTTTCACTCACTTCATGCTGAAGATCATTTCCTGTCAGCACATTTAGTTCTATCTCCATTTCTTTCTTAATGGTTGGGTAGAATTCCATTACATGAACACTTCATAATTTAAACCAGTCTGATACTGGCACTTGGATAGCTCTGGTGTTTTTGTTTCTATAAATGCCCCAATGTTTACCGTTGAACATACATTTTTAAGTGAGTATATGTTTTTTTTTTCCTGCAAAATATAATTTTAGAACTTGAATTGTTGGGTCATAATTTTGACAGATAATCACCACATTGTCCTTCTACCAACATGAGTTTCCTGTTTTTCTATTCTCTTGCCAAGAACGTATTATCAATTTTTTTTGCTTTTTTCCAATGTGTCAGGTTAAAAAAAAGGATATGCCATTACATTTTAAAAATGTACTTCCTTTTTTATAAGTGAGAATCTTTTTTTTCAAGTTTAAAAGCCATTTGTGTTTTCTTTCTGCACCATAGTTGTTCCTGATTTTGGACCATTTTCCCTAGACTGTGGGTCTTCTTACTATCCTAATCAAGCCCCATCCCAGACTCAATGATGCAAAATCTCGGGGTAAGACCTAAGGATGGGTGTTTATTAAGCTTTACAGGCAATTAATTTGCACACTGGAGATTAAAAGGCACTGCTATAGAGCCTGGATATTTGGGGGGTGAAGAAAGGTCTCACCTGGAGGCCCTCAAGCAACTGAACACAATCTTCCTAATCACTGGAGGCAGCAGAATGAAATACACTTGGGGAGGCTCCTAGACACCTAGCAGGGGTTCCACATCTGGTTCCCAGGAGCACAAAGTGGGAACATAAGGAAGAAGGAAACTGAATTTCCCTTTCTACTCAGAGGTAAAAAAAGCTCAGGGTAGAGAATATAATAGTAGTAACAGAGATTTAAAAATCCTTTTATCTTGGAGATTACTTTATCTTGGGAGGCACCTTCACATTTTTTTTTAATAAATACATTTTTAGTTGTGAATGAAACTTTATTTATTTATTTTTATGTGGTGCTGAGAATCTAACCCAGTGCCTCACATATGCTAGGCACTCTACCACTGAGCCACAACCCCAGCCTGGCACCTTCATTCTGAGAACTTAAATGGGCTGGGCAGGCATCAGGTCATGGAGAGAACATTCAGTACTGYCATCTTGGGACTTCTACAACTCCTTTTCAACTAGGCAGCCCCATCAGTATAAGAAAAACAGGCAGAAAAACATCAGAATAAGAAAAACAGAATAAGAAAAAAAAAAAGTACAATCAGCTATAGTAACTCATGTTTTAATGTCTCTTGGGAAGTTAAAGACAAGGTCATGTAAGAAATTCCTAACGTCATACTTAAGAATGCAGCAAAGATAACTTATTAACTTGTATTAAAACTCTATTTAAATCTCATAACACTGTAGACAAAATGGAGCTGAGTTAAAGCAAATCAGTCTATTTTTAACATGATGTAGTATTAAAGAAAGCCACATTTTACCTTGTCAACATTAGCTCGTGTTTTAGCAGATGTTTCCACATAGTTGACATTCCACTGGTCTGCTCTGTTTTTTGCCTCTTCTACAGAAACCTGCCTTTTATCTTCTAAATCTGATTTGTTACCCACCAGTAGAAATGGAACATTCTCATCTTCTTTTACTCTTAAAATCTGCTCCCTGGATAAGAGAAAATGAGAAATATTAACATGACTTCTACATGATAAAAAAGTAGCAACTAGCTATCTGCAATCAGCATGTTTATAATTATATATATATTTCTATAAGCAACAAGCTTATCTATTACATCATAGAAAATAATAAATACTTCTTATTCTATCATCAATTATCTGAGATGTACATTCACTTCAGTAATGATAGAAAAATAAACCAGTTGGGAATATAAACATAACAAGCAGAGGTGCAAAACAAAAAATATCAAGTACAACCTTCCCCAAATGTTTTCATATTTTTAAAATGACCTTTTTATTTCGGAAGTTTTTTTAAAATTTACAGAAAAGCTGAGATCATAGCATGAAAAGTTTCCACTATCATTAACATCGTTTATTAGTATGAGTATGTGTACCAAAATGAATAAATCAATAATGATACAGTATTATTTAAGCCCAAACTTTATTGGACATTCTTAGTTTGAACCTAACATCCTTTTTCTGTTCTGGGAGCCCATCCAGGATACCACATGACATTTAGTCTCATTAGAATTCACTTGGCTGTAATAGTTCTCAGAGTATCCTTGTTTTTGATGACCTTAATAGTTTTGAGGAGTGCTGGTTAGGGTAATTTGTAGAATGTCTCCTAGCAGGGATTTGTGCAATGTTTTTCTCACGACTGGAGTTATGGGATTTTGGGAGGAAGATCACACAGGTAGAGAGTGCTATTCTTATCACATCATATCAAAGGTCCCACAAAATATTTTTAAAGTCTCACAAATGCCAGAAATTATAGGAAGTAGCTCCTCAGCATAGATTTTTCATTTAAAGGTAAATTATAGGGGCTGGGGATGTGGCTCAAGCGGTAGCGCGCTCGCCTGGCATTCGTGCAGCCCGGGTTCRATCCTCAGCACCACGTACCAACAAAGATGTTGTGTCCACCAAGTAAAAAATAAATATTAAAAAAAATTCTCTCTCTCTCTCCTCTCTCACTCTTTAAAAAAAAAAAAGGTAAATTATATACTATGAAGTGTCACCAATTTGTAAGTATTGTGGTTCTGCTCTTCTTAATCATGTGACTGAGAAAAGTACTCTGTCTCCATTTCCTTTTCTATAAAATGGGATCAACAATACCTTCCTTATATGGTTGCTATGAGGAGTAAATGTAAAGTGCTTATTAACTGCACGGCACATAGTAAACATTCAATAAATGCTATTAGCTGTTATTATGATTATCTACTGGAAGAAGATGTTAAGTTTACTTTTTACATCAACACAAAATTTATGTTAACTTGCTTAGAGTCACAACTGAGTAAGTAGATYAAGAATTTGAACCTGAGAAATTTAACTCCAGAAAACACATTCAACTTCTATGCTAGATACCACAGGGATTCTCATAACAGGATTATGAAGGGAACAAACCCTGACCAAGAAGGCTTAGTTCCCAAAACTACTTCATCATGAGAGACYCCTATCTCTGATACAGAGTAAACAACAAGGGGTCTGGCATTATGGTGAGGTTCTCCATATTATATGATACTTTCCTGCCTGGTGCTATGATGAAACAGTGATCAGACCATACCTTTCTGAAAAAAAAAAAAAGTTTTACATTGTTTCGGCTGAGTGCTATATTTAATAGTAGTAAAATAATGAGTGATATAACAACATACTGTCATAGGATAGTTTATATGATTTAAAAATAATGCCTTAATGCTGGGGATATAGCTCAGTTGGTAGAGTGCTTGCCTCCCATGCTCAAGATCCTGGGTTTGATCCCCAGCACCACAAAAAACAAACAAAAAAACAAACCTGTTAAATTATTAAAAAAGAATAAATATTAGAGAATATGCTATATTTTAAATAGAAAACATGACATTCTATTTAAAAATATGAAATGTGGTAGTCATGTGGTTTTATAAAAAACTTGTCATTAGTTTAATGAGCACCAACCAGTATAGTAACACTGATAAACTCAGAAATATGGAGGTAGACCTCCTGGATTTTAATTCTCTGCTATTATTAACTGCATGTCCTAGGTAGGACAAATGACTTAATCTCCCTGTGTTTCAGTTTCTTCATTAAAAGATGTGGAAATAATACTTTCAGAAAGTCAAATTTAAGAATTCACTAATAAACATTATTTTATGTACTCTCAAGAAGACTGCCAATTATAAGGCTACGATGCCAGGTCATAGTCCTGACTTTTGAGAAATGTATAGGTTAGAACTTATGAAACACAGTAGTATCTACCTCTTAGGGTTGTTTGATAAGTGAACTGATTTATGTAAGTAATTAGAACAGTGGCACATGGTAAGTGCTGTATGAATATCAGGTAGTGTTACTGTTATTACTTCATTTGCCTAATTACTGATATGTAGCAAATATTCTAACAGACTCAATGCTTGCAACAAATTCCCTGAACCTGAGTTCTCAATTGTTCTAATATGTATGGACTATGAACCACACAGAAAGTCACTTCCATTTTTCACTGATTTGTATTTACTTTAAAAATCCTTTTAAAAAATAAAAATGTTAAAAAGCATAATATTTGGGCATTATAGGCTAAAYTGTACAGCTACAGTTACACAGTTCTATGTTTCCTGTCACTCAAATGATACCTTGCAAAAAGCATGTCAATGCTCACCATCATTGCTTTACATTTATGATGTGCTTGTGAAGAGGATTTTAGCCAACCAAAACTTTTTTCCAGGGTTGGTAATGACAAATGTGCTGAGACTTTCTTAACTACCATCCATCATGATCTGTAGCCTGAACTAAGATAACAACTGACTTTCCACTCAGTCTCAATAACCACCAGGAAGGTGAGTCTAACTCAAATGTTCATGACTCTAGTGCTTGTGGTCACATATGTATATACTCATTAATTACCTACTAAGCTACTTTTAGTCAGATGCTGCAGGAAGACCTATACTAAAATTATGGCATGATTAATAGTATCAGAAACATGACCATGAAAAATCTGGAATATACTGGCCAGAGGTGAGAAGACAATATTCTTTAGAAATAATAGTTTTTTTTTATTGGTTGTTCAAAACATTACAAAGCTCATGACATATTATCTTTCATACATTTGACTCAAGTGGGTTATGAACTCCCATTTTTACCCCAAATACAAATTGCAGAATCACATCGGTTACACATTCACATTTTTCCATAATGGCATATTAGTGACTGTTGTATTCTGCTACCTTTCCTATCCCCTACTATCCCCCCTCCCCTCTAGAAATAATAGTTTTATTAGTTACTTTTCTGGGTGTCAGAGAAAGGTATTGCTGTGTTTATAGCCTTCATACACATTTTCCTTAATGTTATGCTATTAGAGAATTTTAAAATAGAAAAGTTCTTTTACAATCTGGTCAAACTTCTTCATTTTTGTCGTAAGGAAAGAGAACATCAAAAAGGTAAAGAGTTTTCAAATCAAATAAAATGTTTATTAAATGTGTATTGTATTGTTATATGATCACAACTRTACCAACAGTGAGTACCAGAGATAGGGATGGGTAAAAAATGGGTTCTGCTTTCCAGACGTTTTAACCTTATCAGGGAAAACATAATCAAGCTCAGTAAAAAAGTGTGATACCATGTGGAGTGCCTTCTGTAACCATTCTCACAAATGTCTTTCTCATTGCTGGTGAGTCACTGGGGTCATTTTTATTTATGGGAAGGGCACTACATTGGAGCTATACAAGAAGAGTAATGAATCATCCTTATTTTTTGTAACAGTAATAGCCCAAGATTCTCTCTTGGCATAAAAATACCTTATTCCCTTGAAATACCACATTGGCTTTAGTAACTATGGTGACAAATTTATTCCATTACCTAGAACAGGACCTGCTACATAATCAACTCTCATATTTATTGAATGAATGAATAAGCACTGACATTTATATAACTTTCAACATGTCTCCAGGTTTGCAAGTTATTAGATCTGCCACCCTTTGCATTCTATCGTATATGAAATTCCTTGTAGAAACCAACAAACTTAATTTTACAAACACATCTATATTTTACAGTTTCTCAATGATGTACCTTTTTACAAAGACAGTTAACTTAGAATCCTTTAAGTTCTTGAGACGTTCAAGTGTACATAAAAAGGAATGCTCTGTATAAGCACTGGTTCAGTTTCTTGTACAACTATTGAAATGCCATTTTTCTCATCTGTGGAATCCTTCTCTTTCAGGCTCATCTACTTTGCGACTCCTTTCCCATGCTGGATCCTTGTAGTGATCACTGCCAGTGTTTCCCTACATTATCCTGTATTTAATTATATTATTATTTAATTATAATATTAATTATAAATATTTACTTATGCTTGCTTTTGCTTTAAATATTCAACTTGGTTGTGTAAATTTTGAAATTAGAGGATACATTATATCCTTCTTTTGTGTCCCCCTATAACCAAAGCTGATATGTAACACAGAAATAAAAATACGTAATTAAAGAACCTGTTTAATTATGCATAAAGTATTTGCAAGAGTACTCAAGAACCTTATTTGTACCAAACTTTTCTTAGATAAATAGAGGAACCTTTCTCCCATTCACCAAAACTGTCCCTGCTAAACCAAAAAGATTTTTAATTAAGCAAATAGTAAATAAGACATATTGTAGAATACAATCTAGTATGCCAGTCTACAATGATTATTTCTATTTTACAAATTCAGTCCATAAAATTATTTCTATGCTAAAAATTCAGGGCACATGAATTGTGAGGAGAATGGCAAAAAAAATGCCTGCTGAGTGTTACAAAATGCTCCTAAATCAATGTCTAACACAAAAAAGACTTAAAAGCTGGAAAAGCTCACTATATTGATTATTCACTATCAGGGCAATAATAGTACTTTAAAGAGAAATACTTCAGGATTGCATAAAGGAACTCTGGATACTTGAAGCTGCCATAAACTCAAGCTCTAATATAGCTAGCACTAGGATGGCTGTAAGATTATGTAAAGTTTCCTGAATATTGTGTGTACATACACAGTGGACAGAGTCATATACTAATACTGAAGTGAGAAATAAACACAACTAGAGATATAGTAAAAGACTAACAAGCAAGAAGCTCTTGTTGTCCCCTTGTTTCTGGAGAACTGTTGTGCAGTATGTTATGAGCAATATMATTCACAAACATACCTGAAGTCGGCTGTGGCTGCAAAAGATTCCATTTCTGTAATAGAGAAGACACAGAGAAACCCCTCCCCACTCCGGAAGTAGTTGTCTCTAATTGCGGCATAGTCCTCCTGTCCAGCTGTGTCTAAGATATCAATCTGTACTTCCTCCCCATCCAGCACCACCTTCTTCCTATAGCTGTCTGCTTTGGTAGGTTCATAGTCCTCCACAAACTAGAAAAAAATGAAAAACATGTCTATTTTTTAAGGGTACTTTTGCTTTTTAAAACTTCTTACTTTGAAATATTTAATTATAAAAAATGGGGGATGAACTGTTATACCTCTAGACTGCTTACAGCTTGAAAATTATGCCTTTTGCTTTCTTAAAAAAATACTATACATGTCAAAACTATTAAACATATATTTTATTAAATTTATAAGAACACCTTTCTATGAGATGCTAAATATAAATTTTTGTGCTAGAACTGTGGAAATAACTTATAGGTCAATATTTAGGTAAGTATGAAAGTACCATTAAGTCTTTTCTTTCTCCAAAATGAAATGAATAAAAGTGACTTATGCTACTCTATAGGAGGTCAAAACTTGGACTTGTGAGAGTTCTTCCCAAACTTGATTTTTCAAATAATACAATTAAGCAACTTTACATTCCTGTTCCTGTCATCAACTTCATAAATTTCTTTCATGTATCTTAATGAACCCTTTGACAACACTGTTAGCACATATGTATGGATACACATGTATACACAGTTATTTTGTGGGTTTTTTTTTTACTAGCTTCTATAAATATTTTTATCATTTGATATTTTCTTATTTGCTTAATTTCCATATCCCACCACTAGAATTTAACCCTTGAGAGCAAAGACTTTGGATATGCTTCTCAGCGCTGTATCTTTAAAGCCTAGAATAGCATCTAGACTGGTAGACACTCATAAACAATTATTTAGAAAATGGACAGTATTTTGTAACTGCAAAAGTTATTCAACATTTTACCACATTTATATTCTAACACCGTGCTTAACCATCATCAAAAGTTAGGCGTGTGGATATTCTTACTTTTGGCCTCTTTACTGTCAAGAAGGGGACTGATAAAAGGATTAGTTTGAGAAAAGACTGTCAAATGAATAGTGTGAAAAACAAATGAATGAATGAATCAGTAATTTCATTTGAAGTACCACTTCAATCCTCCTTCTCCCTAAACTTTTTTTCATAGTCACTTGCAACAATCAGGAAAATGAATGAATCTGAGGGTTTGAAGTGTGTGTGAAAGAAATGTAAATTACAGACAATTAAAAAAAAGACTTGGGGTGGTGAAATTTGCTGGATTATATTTTGCAGAAAACCAGGTATAACACTTGTAATACTTGCCCTTCTTGGGCTAAGTAGATAATCTCTCTGAGGTTTTTTTCTTCCTTGTGAAATGGTGATGCCATTACTTACCATGCAGGATTGTTATGAGAATTAAGTAAAAAAAGAGTACATTGCCACCATAAAACCTGGTTTCTACTGAGAGGAAGTGCTGAGGATAAATGTTTAAATTGAATTATTAACTCTTAAATCATTAAGACTTGATGGCAGTCCTCTAGGAAAAGAATATATTGTTTTATATAGGCTGAAACCTTAACTGAAGGATAATAAAATCTGATATAAATACATGCACATAAATTTGTAGCCTAATAATAACAAATTTTAGTGATATGGTCTTTACCTGGTTAAAGATGTATGATGCCACATCAAATCCAAAATAAAAACTAACTTTTCCATTGAGATCATTAAAGAACATTTTATATATGTTAACCTCAAGTCTCAATAAGGTTCTGCATCTACCAGTCCTATTAATTCAATAGGAGTGGGAGTCTTCATTAAAAGGACTACAATTTAAGATCTAAAGTAGATTACTTTAAAAAAAAAAAGAATACTGTTTTCAGTTTTGTTCTGTTTTTAAAGTCTGAGGTTTTTAAGGATCTTGAGTTCCTGACTTGTAAAATGAAGTCATATACATATGTTGGCTCTGAACTTAAAAATGGAAAAATACATTATGAGTAGCTTTTAAGGATCCAAGGAATCTATACAAAATAGCACCAAAACYAAGCTAGTGAATATTCTCTCAAAGCCAGACTTTGATACTCATTATGAAGTTAGTGCTTACCTCATCATACATGAACTGAAGAGTCAAAGCAGACTTGCCCACACCACCACTTCCCACCATGATGACTTTGTGTAAGGCCAAAGAATTCTGACCTTTGGGCTTATTTGCAGCCATTGTGTGTTGTCGAGTTTTCACTGGAGGATTAAGAAGGATCTAAGAAGAACGAAAGGACAAGTAACGCTCAGTATATTCTTCCTCAGAATTCCAGTGTAGGAAAGAGATATGATGTCCCTAGGGTTCATGATACTAGTTTTCATTCTGCAGTGATTATAAACAGATGGCAAATGAAGTGTGCTCACTTAAGGAAAGAACCACTTATCAGAGAATGCCATGACAATGAAATAAGCAAATGACTCAAGGGCATTTCTCTTATAGTCATTTCCATAATGAGCTGTGACCAAACGTGGAGTTCCCAGTGCAATCACATGCTGGCAATAACAAGGTACTTGTTACACTGGAATACATTCACACAAATTATGAAAAAAGTTAAAAGAATCACTGTTTCACATTAATCCATATTGGCAATACTTAGAGAGATGCTCCTTCTGATTTCAGGAATAAATAAATGACCAAAAAAAGACTGCCATGCCTTAGGTTAAGGAACTCACTGAAAGGCTTGTCATGTTACAAGACAGACCACATTCCAACAACTTGGCAACAGAACTATAGATTGAATACAACACTGCATACTCAAAAGTACCATTACTAAAACATTTGTGTTTTCTGGAGTGGACAATCTAAATTAAATACTTGGGCCTAACATGCCCTCACTTTCCTCAGACTATGCATTTGTTTAAGACATTTAGGTGTTCAGTGTGGAGAAGAACAGATTTCTACAGAAGCTGTAGTAATATGGTTTTAATAGTACTCAGTCACCTTTGGCCATGGTACTGGGCATTAGGGGAAAAAAGGCTGCAGGGTCAAGAGCAATCTCAAGTGTACATAGAGGCCCAAGCAAAGAGACTTTTTTGTTATTAGAGAATAGAAGGGATGTTTCTGACTTGTTTAGGTTACAGATAGTTTTCCTAAATTGCAGCTCACAGAACTATGCCCAACCCTGCTTACTTCCCTATCTGTGCCCATCTTTCTTAGCTCAGCTACATCAAACATATGCTGGTCTCCTTCTGTTTCTTAAATTCTTTCCTCTGCCTCTTGCCTTTGCCATGTAGTTTTCCTCTGTTTGGCATATTTTTATTTGATCTGGCTAACTTCTGGTCTCACTTTATCTGAAACTCTCAATACAAATAAGGCTTTCCCCTGCCCTGTAGTCTCAGATAACATCTGCTACGTTTCTTTTAAAGCCCTTTATCACAACTTGAAATCACTTAATTGTGTAGTTGTTCTATATGGGTCTTCTCTGGTACAGAATACTAGAAACAATCTGAGTGCAGGACCTATTTGGTTTAACTTATGCTTAATATAACCAACATGACTTGGTGAAATTAGTCATTCAGTGCATGTTTGTTCAATGAATGACTACAAATGTAGATAGCCAGACTTAACCTTGAGGAATGCTTCAGACCCAATTGATGTAAAGCAGCTACTGCTGCCTATTACAAGTAAAGGCCACAGATATGTGCCTAACATATCAGTTGTATTGGAATCTAAGAGCGAGGCCTTATTTCAAGTCTCACCCAGAAGTTATACCTATATGTCTATTTGTGACCAATACAGAAAAGCAGCAGGGCATGTAATTCAGTGGTAGGGCACTTGTCCATTACTGAAAAACATTCAAACAAACCACAATCCTAGTATTCATTTACCAGCATGAGCATGTTAACACACTTCCTTTGAGACTGCCTTCACTATACCCAGCAAAACTGAGCTCACACCATACATGCAATTTTTGATTCAGTTATTATTATTACATCATAATGATTAGAGCAGAAGCAGCTTGAACTATGAAGGTATGACAAAAAGTAATCTACATTTTTAGGCTAAGGGTTCAATACAACTCAAAGATGAAGCCCCATCTTTTCATCTGGGTACYGAGAACATGGTCATTAGATTCTGAATGATCATCACTACTCAAAAATAGTAATAATGGAGTGGGGTTGTAGCTCAGTGGTAGAGCATTTGCCTAGCATGTGCGAGGCACTGGATTCAATTCTCAGCACTGCATATAACTAAATGAATAAAATAAAGGTCCATCAAGAACATCAAGAACAACAACAACAAAAAAGTAATAATGAAAGTACTGGGCTYGGGTTATGGCTCAGTGGTAGAGCACTTGCCTAGCATGTGTGAGGCACTGGGTTCAAACCTAAGCACCACATAAAAATAAATAAACATAATAAAGGCATTGTGTCCATGTGCAACAAAAAAAATAAAAATAAAAAAAAAAAGAAAGTACTACAGATTACTAACCAAAAATCTGAAAGATACTGCTGGTGTTTCTAAACAAATAAGAAAATGATTTCTTTTCACTATTATGATCCCAAGTTGCTGGTAGCTACAATCATTTTATGGCTATGTAACTTTTATTTTTAAAACMGTAAGTACCACATGTGCTCAGGGTGTTACCAAATCAATTAATACTCTAAAGTGTGTGTTTATGTGTGTGTGCGCGCGCGCGTGCATGCACACGCAGGGGTGGGAGGAAGTGTGGGGGGGGAGAGAGAGAGGGAGAGGGAGGGAGGGAGAGAGAGAGAGAGAGGGAGGGGGAGAGGGAGGGAGGGAGCATGAGCAAACATTAAGCAGTTACACCAAATGGGTTAAAACACTTTTTCTTCCAGAACAGTTTAAAATATAGTCTGTGACTCAGAAATAGACAAAGATTTCTAAGGACATTTTTCCAAAGTACAGACATTCCCTAATAATGATGAGTGGCACATCAGAGATTTCTAAGAGACCATCCAGGAAAAGCAATTCCCACCAAGGAAATATTCCTTGCTCCCATTAAATAAACCTGGTACTATACAACTTAGCTGCTTAATACTGGCATGTTAATATTCTGTTGCTGTGACAAAATACCTGAGAAAATCCACTTAACAGGTAAAAGATTTATTTTGGCTTGTGGTTTCAGAAGTTTAAGGACATGATTACTTGGTCATATTGTTTTTGGCCTGTGGTGAGGCAAAATATCATGAGAGAGATGGCATGGAACAGCAAACGTGCTCACCTCATGGTGGCTGGGAAGCAAATAGAGGGAGAGGAGGGGCTGGGTCCAATAACCCTTTCATAGCATGCTCCCAATCACCTAACTTCCTTACGTTAAATCACACCTGCTAAAGGTTCTATAACCTCCCAATAGTGTCAGAGGCTGGGCATTAAGCCTTCAACAAACGATCTTTGTGGGACATTGAAGATACAAAMTGAAATACTAGATGTTGTTTTAAATGGTAAGCAGCCAATGCCTTTTCCTACTAGAACTTTAAAATACATACACAAATAAGAAAATTCTATTAGTCCTAAGTGCAATGAAAAAAATAAGAAGGTAATGGGATAAAGAGTTGATATAGAAGGAGGCTATCCCAGGAGTCCATGCAAGAGAGGAAAGAGATTCGGGATGCAGTGGCATTAGCAGAAATAATAAGAATACCAGCTTCACCACTATAACTAGTACAAGTATAATTACTACTACTAGCTATCCTGGAGATAACAAAAAATAAAGTGCTAGACATTATTCTGAGCACTCTGTACATGCTAACTTGAGTACCATACTCCATATATTAACAAACCTATGAGGTATATGCTATTTCAACTTCATATAATAAATAAGAAATCCAGGTCACTAAAGTTGTCCTGCTCAAGGCCAGGTTAGGATGGAGAATCAATTGACAGGATTTGCTAGTTGATTGGATGGGGGTGGGTAGCAGTGGCAGGAGTAACTTCTAAGCTTTTGGCCCAAATATCTGAATGTGTGGTGGTACATTACCTAAGATGGAGAAAGGCTAGCAAGAAACAGGTCTAAGAAAGAAATCAAAAGATCTGCCTATGTTATAGACACCTAATTGGAGTTCTTTAGTAGGAATCTGGATATTTTAGTCCAGAGTTCTGGGATCAGGATAGAGATAGAAACAAAACTTTGAATATCAATTTATAGTCTGAATTTAAATTCACAAAACTGAACAAACTAATTCTCTAAGGGAWAAGATTGAGATGAATATGAGGAAGCAGAGGAAAGGGCCCTGAGACAACATGCTAGGTTGGTTTAGAAGGAGGAAATTGAGTGATCCTAGTTATCAAAGCTTGTTAACTCAATCATGCTGAGGCTGAGACGAGATACAGTGACAAGAGAAACAGAACAGATAACTAACTGGTTACTAGTTTTGGCAAAATGGAGACTGATGGTGACTTTAGGAAGTGCTATCTCACCAATAAGGCAAGAATGGAATGGGCTAAAGAGTAGGTTTAGAAATGAACTCTTACTCTTTAAGAGGAATGGAGAAATGGGGTTAGAGTTAATATTATCAGGAACAAAGTTTGTTGTTTGGTTACTTTTTAATATTTTTAATCTTTGTAGAGTAATCATTCAAAAAGGGGGAGAATTTAATGGTGCAAAAGAGAGGGTGACTTGAGGAGCGAAGTCCCAGAATGGACCAGCAAGTGGAGACCCAGACCTTACAGAAGTAGGGATATCTCTTCCTTTGTAATGGGAAGTGAGTTCAAGCAAAGAACAAGTGATATAGGGGCAAGCAGCATCCGGATTTCTTCAATTAAAATATGATCACACACATAATTTAGTGAAGGTTGAGACTTCTAAAGCAAGCTTATTTTAGACCAATGGGACAGAATATACAGAAATAGATCTAAATATAATACTATAGTACAGTAACAAAGGTAGTATTTTAAACAGAGAGGAGAAGGATGGAAAATAATTCAATAAACGGTGTTAGGACAATTGGTGAGTTATCTGGAAAAAATAAAGTTGGATCTATTCTCCAACAACTTAAAGTCTAAGTAAATCAAAGAATTAAATGATAATAAAGGCATAGAGAGAAAAAGCAAAACCACAAAACAACTATCTTATAACTTTAGGCTGGAGAAGACCTAAAATTAAAAAGTTAGAAAATGTCTGATAAATTTTTAACTCTCAAAAGAAATTTCTACATGACAAAATCATCTATAAACTAAGTAAAAAAAAAAAAACTGGGGATTTTTTTCACCCATTTCATTGAAAAAATAATTTCCCTATAAAAAAAGTTACTATA